GTGCTATATAAGCCATACAGTACTTCTTATTTCTTAAAAAGAACAAAAAATAAAGAATAAACCCTGTCTCTTATACACATCTAGATGTGTATAAGAGACAGGATTAACGGTCTGCATCTACCTTGGTTTGTTTGAGTTTACATTGGATCGGTTTACTTCACTGTGGTTTATATGAGTTCCAGTGGATCATTTCATTCTATGTACGACTGCTAAAGTTTTGATTGAATGGCATGGCCTTTTATATCAGATTGGTTTTAAAAACGTATGTTCGAATCATGCGTATGTTTTGAGTTTAGACTGAGTGGTTTAGCCTTTACATAAATGATTTGGTTTCTGTTTGGATAATTTTGTGTTCCATTGTAAATTATTTGTGTTTGAATGATTTGGACAACATACGCTTGGGGTATGGGATGAATGATTTCGTTTTTGAACGAATGGTTTGGTTTTTGAATGATTTGGTTTTGTATGAATTTGCTTCCTTACATTTGACTTTGTATTGAAAGGTTTGAGTTTAGCTTGGAGGGGAATTGGCTACATATTTTTGGCGGATTTCGTTTTCCATTGCTATTCTTATTACTCTGCTGTCATCGCTGCCTATGCTGCCGGTGCCATCGTTGCTGCCGGCACCATTACTGCTTCCAGCATCGCTGCCCACCAATTTTTAGGTTACGGTACTCAACTGAACCGTAGATATATAGGCCTACAGTATTCTGAAAACTTCAATTAAAACACAAAATATAATGTTCCGCTAAGCCAGGCCCCTTGAATATTGTTGCCATGTATAAGCTACAACACAAAAGCTTAAATTAAAGAAATGTACTAGGCCTAGGCTAGGGCCTACTTCTATCTAGAAGGAGGAACAACAAATTTGTGGGGCTGTGTAGGGACCATTAATTAGCCCTGTTATGATTAGTCAACTCAAACAGGCACATCGGCCTACCCAGCCTAGCCTGCCTAGTTTAGTGCGCAGGCCTAGCCAGGCCCCAACTAGGATGCCTGTATGTACAGTAACAGTATAGGCCTAGGCCTAGCCTAACGACTA